TAATATTCATCTCCAGACATTGTCCCTACAATTAAGTTGCCCATTTTCTTAGTTTTTGAACTCTTATTTCTGTGTGTCTGCATTTAATTTTACTGACATAGCACTGCCTTAAGAACTTCTTGGAGATCTGGTCTGGTGCTGGTAAATTCTTTCAGGTTTTGTTTATCTGGGAATGTTCGTGTCTTTTCTTCCCAAATACACGCTCCCCGCCCCCCATGAGTTTCAAGCCACCGGCTCCAGGAACTATGGTCAATTACGTGCCTTAATCACTATGTCCTGAGTGCACATACCTTATAGCAAAACTAAAAAAATTTAAATAAAAAGATAAATAAGTCTTTATTAAATCTCTCAATGAGATATCAAGGAGTTGGTTACATTTCTTACACCCAAATAACCTGAAAACCCTCCCAGAACTCCCAACTCAAACCACTCTGGCTGTGCCTTGTGGACTCTTCCTACACTCCAGGACTCCCACACCTCTACAAAGCTTGTCTCAGTCACTCTCCTTCCCATGTCCTCCCCACTCTCTTCCTCACATGGGCTTTTCTTCCCTAATTTGCTCTCCATCCTTTCTCTGGTCAATAGTTTTCATTTCTCTAGGTTTTCTTTTCAAAGCTGCATATGTTACCCCAAAATAAACCCAACCAAGATTTTTCTGAGAAATTTGCTATAGGGGATGTGTGTTCACCAAAGGAACCCAAACATAGAAATTGTTCCCAAAAGGGATGGCCATGTTGCAATCCCTACTCTTCTCAGGATTTTGGGTACACAAATACACGCCCCCCCCCCATGAGTTTCAAGCCACCGGCTCCAGGAACTATGGTCAATTGCGAGCCTTAATCACTATGCCAACGCTAAGTCCTGAGTGCACATACCTTATAGCAAAACTAAAAAAATTTAAATAAAAAGATAAATAAGTCTTTATTAAATCTCTCAATGAGATATCAAGGAGTTGGTTACATTTCTTACACCCAAATAACCTGAAAACCCTCCCAGAACTCCCAACTCAAACCACTCTGGCTGTGCCTTGTGGACTCTTCCTACACTCCAGGACTCCCACACCTCTACAAAGCTTGTCTCAGTCACTCTCCTTCCCATGTCCTCCCCACTCTCTTCCTCACATGGGCTTTTCTTCCCTGATTTGCTCTCCATCCTTTCTCTGGTCAATAGTTTTCATTTCTCTAGGTTTTCTTTTCAAAGCTGCATATGTTACCCCAAAATAAACCCAACCAAGAGCTAGCTGAGCATTCAGGCAAAACAGAATTCTCCTAAGGAGAGATAACAGTTGCAAAAAAAAAAAAAGAGAAACCCACCCCAGGGCCATAAACATCCTGGAAGCCTAAGACCCCAGATTCCAAACAACCGCGCTACAACAACTGATTCCTCAGCAACCAAGGAGGCTTAGAGGAAGACATGCATCTTGAACAAGAAAGTCAGAGCTTGAAAAACCAGACAGAAGACCAATATTCCAGAGGACCAGTGAGAAATAGAAGACAACAAAACTAGATACAAAAAATAATAAGAGTTTCAGGGTAGGGAAGATCCAGAACTGAGGGCCCCTGAGGGAAGACCTGCATCCTAAGCAGTGGAGTATAATTTCTAATACTTTCTGGGGACAGAATTCCTGACGTACAGTCATTACTCTCACACTGAACTCTCCTCACAGCTGAACTCTCATTGCCACTGCTCCAACTAGGCGGAGTAGTTAGGGCCAGCAGGTGGCATGGAGGTTACAGCAGCTGGATCCCACAGGGCCAATTGTGAGGTTCACTTCCCATGCATAATGTAAGCATGCCTAAGATCCTGAGAGGAGGGGCCACCAGGTGGTGATTAAGGGCACTGGAGTCCCACATGACTGACCACAGTTCAAGTCCCGGACCAGGCGGTTTTATTTGACATCCTTTCTCTCTTGCTCTGTCCCTCTCTGGTCAAGTTAAAATAAATTAAGTTAAATAAAATAATTCTTAAAAAAAAAGAATCCTAAGGAAAGAATGAAAGAAAAGGGACTGTAATGTGGCCATCTATCCCCCGCCCCAATCCTCCAGTGGTATTTTCTCACTTTCCTTCTTTCTCTCTCTCTCTCTCATTCTCTAATGAGTACACGTATAGCAAAAAAATTTTTTAAATGAAGAAGTAGCAGTTGAACAAGGCGTTTTAGGAGAGCGTTGCTGACCCTACAGTGACTGCAGTAGAGGAAGAGCCCCGAGCAGAGGCAGAACTGTGCTCCCTGCAGTCTCTGACCAAGGACAGCGAGGACCTGAGCCATCCTAGTGCAGAGACCCTGAGGGAGAAGAGCAGGGCCACGGCGGGTAGGGAAGGCCAGAGGAGACTCAGTCACTTACCCCCGTACAGCTGGGCCTTCCTCCAGGCTGAAAGGGAACACAGCTGGTGAGACCTCGGCCAGGACAAGGCACCGCAGAGTGAATGTACTGGCCCTGGCTCCCTTTTGCTTAAAGATAAAACTATCAGACCAGCAGATGGCTTAATGGTTATGTCACTGGACTCCCACATAGTCGACTGCAGTTCCAGTCCTAGATTGGTGACTTAAAACTCATGCCAGACACATGCGCGTGCATGCCCACAATCCTGAGAGGAGAATAGAGGAGAAATAATTGCAGTGTGGCCATCCCTAGCAGGGGGTGACTGATTTCTCACTTTCTCTCTCTGTTTCTCTTTGCCTCTCTGGCAAGTGCACACTCTCTATAGCAAAAAAAAAAAGAAAATAAATAAATAAATAAATAAATAAATAAATAAATAAATGCAAGACCATCTGTCTGAGGACAGAGGCCATGGAAGAGGGGCCCCTGCAATGTACAGGGAGAGAGGGGGTGGTAGGCATCTCCCTGGACACAGCTCAGGACGCCCACATCACAGACGGCTCCACCCTATCCTGATGCTATGTGCTTCTAGGCAAGTCACGTGGCTGCTCTGGGCCTCGAAAACCTGACCAATTCTTAGTCTATCTACATTAGATTTTACTGCTAAGAATCAAACATTAAGCTCTGTGTGAAAATGATTTAGGGAATAAAATATAAATTATATTCCCCATGCTCTCATGTGTTCTTCATAAAAATTAGAAAGCATTATTGTAACCAGTCTTATGCTGGCAAAGATCTATTTGGAAGATAACTCAAAAGGGAGAATGATTTAAGGACAGGAATGTTCCGCAAGCCCCAGGATAAAAGTGGCCGCTCTCTCAGATAACCTAGAGGTGAGCGTCAGTAATCCTGGGAGTGTTCAACTCAGCCCCTCACACTCCACCACAGCCCACACCCAGTCCTCTCCTCATCACTTTTTTTTTTTAAAGAAAGAATTTTGCCATAGGGTGTGTGTACTTGCCAGAGAAACAGAGAGACACAAAGGGAAAGTGAAAGTGAGAAGTCACCTCCTGAGCCAGGGGAGATGACCACTCCTACATTCTCCTCTCAGAATTTTGGGCACACATGTGCATGCGTCTGGCATGAGTGTTAAGTCACCAGGTCCAGGATTCGAACCGTAGTCGACTACATGGGAGTCTAGTGACATTACAATTATGCCATCTACTAGTTCCTCTCCATCACTTTTTAATTAGCATCTTTAGGAGTGGAAAAAGAATGACTATCCCTGGATGGTGTTTTGGGGAAAGGAGGTGAGAGGCCACACTCCTGAATTTGATAACCTCATTTATTTATAGAGCTCATTTAAGGAAATACCAGAGCATCTGGCTTTCAGCTTGTGGTGCAGACTAGTTCAATGCACTAAAGGCTAAAAAACTGCAAATATGTGAATAGGTCAGGTTGGGTTGAGAAATTCTGGGGTGTACAATAGATCAGGGGTCACCATCAGCCCCAGGTCCCCAAGCAGGAGCAGCAGCCCAGATGTGGAGAGCCATGGAGCAGGGTCTCACTCCCACCAGCTTCCACTTCTGCTCCCAGGGTGGAGGGACAGGGGACCACACGGCTGAGCCCAGACAGAAACAAGGACAGGGGACCTGGGCACAGGTGGGTGAGAAACGAGGACATCTGGAGGGTCACTCACCAGCCAGGTAAGCTGCTTTCCTCTCACCTGAAAGGAACACACAGGACAAGGTGAGCTGGGATCAGAACATCTGCTGAGAAGGGGACAGGGGAGGGCGGGGGGGACGCAGGACTTACTGAGGTCAGCCCGGAGTACGTCTGAAAGAGAGGAAAAAGGAAAGATGAACTTCCACCCAGCAGGTGTGGAGGTTAAGGTGGTTGGATCCCACATGGACGACTGAGCAGTTTGAGTCCCAGATCTGGCAGCTCAAGAAATACACCAGGCACATGTATGTGCATGCCCAAAATCCCGAAAGGAGAATAGAGAAGGAACTGCAGTGTGGTTATCGCCCGAGGCGGGGGGGAGTGATTTCTCTGTGTTCTCTCTGTGTGTCTCTCTCTGTCCCTCTTCAGTGATCACATGTACCCTATGGCCAAAAAAAGAAAGAGAAAAAAAAAAAAAAAAACCAAAAAGAAAAAAAG